GAATTTTGAGAAATGTCTTTATATTTGGGTATGAATCATCATCACAAACTTCGATGGTAGAACTTTAGATGGTAGTTGTGTGACCTCTCGTTTCCACTTTGTAATCCATAGCTGATACTCTGTAACGATAGTGGTAGCAGGAACATTTAAAAAATGGGAATAGAATTCAGAAACTTTCTCGACAATAAGAAGATCTTCTGTAAGTATATTCAGATTTCGGCACAAAAATGCCTAATCCGAAAAAGTTTATTGTATCCGCAGAGATCGGTCTTGTAGGTCAGTAATTATGCTATCTATAAGTGGAATATAAACAGTCCTCCGAAAATATTCCTCGTTATTTCCTTAATAATTATCGCGAAGTGTCTGCCGAGGCGCAGTACGAGGTTTCATTTCCTTTTATTATTTGGCAAATTTTTGAGATTTTTCAATTTGGCCTTAGATTTGGAGGGGGGGGGTCATGTCCCCTGTGACCCCCCCCCCCTGTTTACACTACGGCAAATGTCCAGTGAAGTTAAGTGTAAAAGTAATTCATGGATTACAACACAGGCGTTGTAAACGTCAAATACATATTGTTTTCACCTGGGTAGGCACACATTAGATTTTCTATAAATATTTTATCATAAATATAATCAAAGGTAATGTTAAACTTTTGTTTTTATCCGGCTGATACGGAATGGTTGAATATTCTAGCGGGAATTCATTCATAAAGTTAACTTCATCTGGCAACTCAGAGCTCTCTCCCGTAGGAAATATTTTGTTGCACTACGTCTCTAATTTAGTATCGCGGCAGCAACATGTCTTTGTACTCAGAGAAAAGAGTAAAATGGTTCTTTGATAGTAACAATTTGCAGTTTATAAGAGGGACTGACACCAAAGAGTATATTAAGGAGTCTCATATGGATCACACACTACTAGCTTTATTGTTTTTTCTCATATCTTTCTTAATAAGAAGGATTTTTCTTCTTATAACTAAAGATGCGACATATCAGTATCGATAGTATGAGAACATAAATAAAAAGTTAAAAGATTATACTTGAACCTGATGGTTGGACATAATTTAGTAACGAAAGTGGCGTTCGTTACTGAATTATGTCACTGATTTTTATTTTTGATAAATTGTGTTCATCATATAATATAATTATCAAGTGCTCTGAAACCTTTTTGGAGTCTTGTTTGCGTTCTTGCTTTTGTGAAGTTATCGCAACTAGCTTCTTCGTGGCCATGGCTGACTTCAGAAACTTACACGTTCGTGGTCTATATTCAGTACCCTTTTCGAACGATTCTGGATCGCACAGCATGCTGAAAAATACGTTAACGGTCGACCAATACCCCGGAACTGCTATACTTCCAGAAGCACCTAGGAATCAGTCCAATAAGTATACAAATATATTTTAGTGCCATTACAATTTTTCTATTATCTCTAAACGTAAAAATGAAGAAATAACGAAGAATTTAGTAGATTTCCGCACCACTTGGCGCTGTCACCATCTTTCTATTTAAGCGAGCGAACAATAAACTCTATTTTGATTTGATGCTCATAAAACCGACGACGAGTAATTTCATTGTTTAAATAAATATGTATTCTGAACTTTAAATCTAGTATGAGCGTTATAAGATAGAAATTTTGACATTTCTCTAAGGCACCTATCATGCAGTGCTATTCTGTAACAACAAACTCACACCGCAGATTTCTCCGGTTTTATTTTAAATTTGTGTTCTAATTTTAATCACACCTCGGATTCCGAGGTGTAAAAGTGTGTTTGTTCATACGGAATAGCAATGCTAGAATTCGCAATTGTTCATTCGTTGTTAAAGTGACGGTCGAAGACAGTAAGATTATGAACTGTTCGTCATTATATACGTGAAGGGTAGCGAAAAGAGACTCAAATGCAAGTTTTATTTCCTTCAACTAGTTCGTCCTCTTCACATCCCTTCTCGGGCACTGGGGACCCGAGGTGACCCTAATCTCTGCTCAAGTGTGAGATTATAGCCGTCCTCTACCAAGATTATTAAATACCAAAGAGATGGTTATTAAACTTAATACAATTTAAATAGAAACCACCATATAACATTTTAAATGCGATAGCTTAGCCTATGCCGCTAAACTGATTTCAGTGAGTATTGGGATATTCATTAAACTTTGAACTTGATTTCAGTGAATATTGGGATATTATAAACTTTGAATAAATACATAAACAGGATCAAAGGTGATATATTGGTTGTAAAATTAAACTTTCAGTAGGTGAAATATTGAACAAATATTTTGGAAGGCAAAAGCAGCGCTTCTGCTCCAATGGTCTTAGGTTTGAATCCCGGGATAAAGGGGCATTTATTTATGTGATGGACACGAGTAACCACTCGTTCCCGAGTCATGGCTGTTTATCATACTTATAAATTATTATATGTATACCTACGTTATATAGTACAAGCTCTGTTTAATCTGGGACTAAATTATCATTATTTACTATATTCATCGGGCAGCAATTTTTTGCAAAATTTAAATGAAAATGGAGTTTAAACATTTGCAGCACTAGTAGCTATTCTGAATATATTTTTATTTCACTTTGATCTTTCGTGAGGTATTCTTTAAAACATTATTAACGTTTTTTACCTATGCTTGACCAAAAATAAATTAATTGCAAGTAAAGATTTGATATAAAGGAGAACATATTACAGATTTCGGAATATTACCTAGTAAGTATAAATGTGAGCCAAAAACATCCGCTGCTAATATTTCCAAGGAAATGTTATTATTAAAACAGTCTCTTTATTAATTTTAATTAACGTCAATTTTCCGAATATTCTGTTATATTCATTCAGCTTGCTTTTCTTCTCCAAAACAATTATTTGGGTCCGTAAATCTTAATTTCCAATTCAAAAGTATCGCGATTTGTAATTTCTATAACTTTAGTTTTGGAACGAAGTTATTTCAGACGGTATGGCGGATGGGGGCTAGGCGATAAAATATGTAAGATTTTTCCTTCACAACCTAGTGAGGCCATAAGCTAGACAGCTGGGTGGGCAACCACTGACGGTAGTAACTGGGGACTTGGTATAAAGTTTTGGACTGGGAGCGGTGTGTTGAAGCGGGAGTTGCGACTGATGGTTCGGGAGTTGTAAGTGATGGACCGGGAGCGGTGAATGATAAACTGGAAGTGATGAGTGATAGACCGGGAACGGTGAATGATGGACCGGGACTGGTGAGTGATGGACCGGGAGCAATAAGTGATAGGTCTTGAGCGGGGGCGATGAACCGGGAGCATTGAGTTATGGACCGGGAGCGATGAGTGATGGTCCAGGAGCGGTGAGTGATGGATCTTGAGCGAGAGCGATGAACCGGGAGCAGTGAGTTATGGACCGGGAGCGGTGAGCTATGGACCGGGAGCGGTGAGCTATGGACCGGGAGCGGTGAGTGATGGACCGGGAGCGGTAAGTGATGGATCTTGAGCGGGGGCGATGAACCGGGAGCAGTGAGTTATGGACCGGGAGCGGTGAGTGATGGACCGGGAGCAGTAAGTGATAAATCTTGAGCGGGGGCGATGAACCGGGAGCAGTGAGTTATGGACCGGAAGCGATGAGTAATGGACCGGGAGCGGTGAGTGATGGATCTTGAGCGGAGGCGATGAACCGGGAGCAGTGAGTTATGGACCGGAAGCGATGAGTGATGGACCGGGAGCGGTGAGTGATAGATCTTGAGCGGGGGCGATGAACCGGGTGCATTGAGTGATGGACCGGGAGCGGTGAGTGATGGATCTTGAGCGAGGGCGATGAACCGGAAGCAGTGAGTTATGGCCCAGGAGCGGTGAGTTATGGACCGGAGCAGTGGTTGTGGACTCAGCGTCTTGGCAAACAGCGGACTCAAAAAACCAACAATGAATGGAATACGAAGATGAGAGTCTACTTCAGACAGAAAGTTAACATACGCCATTGATTCTAATTTTCTCGTTGTATGTAATATTAAAAAAAAACCTTAAAAAATTAAATGGCGAAGCAGGAAGTGCAGCATTATAAATATTTTTTTTAAAGTACATTGTGCTTTTACATAAAAAATCACAATACGAAGCCTTATTTCAAAACCATTTTTTGGAGCACATTTCATTATTGCGCAATATAGGCGAAATGTGTCACTCTCCTTTTACTCTGTCTAAGCTTCCAGATCTATCGACAGGACTGGATTTAGATTTAGCCTAGATTTAACAGAATAGAGGTAAACATATCAAACTTTCGCATTTATAATGATGATAATAAATTACAATCAGATTAGAAACAATATTATTTAGTTCTCAAACGAAACTAAGCTTGTAATATGGAAACTAAACTTATACAATACATTATTTCATTTATAAAATAATACAAACAAATATAATACAGTAGTCCAGCGGTAATCCGTTTTGCAGGGCGATGTCGGATTATCGAATTCGTCAGGTTATAGAGTAATGCCTAAGACCACTCTCTATAGTCCGGAATTTTTGGTATAAGAGTACTTTATAATCCGACAATGTACAATTTTAAAAATCTATTTCCATTGATTTCATGTGCAAATCAACAGTGATAAGCGTGTCTGGATTACCGCGGGTCTACTGTACTTGTAATAATATAGGACTTAGGAACATACACATAACATTTGTGGTACTCGTACACAAAAATGTTTCCACCGGATTTCGACCCAGGACCTTTGGAACAGATGGTAGGAGCGCACAGTAGTAGCATTGACAAAACTTAATTTACATAAACAAAATCAAAACCTCATTCTATCTCTATTGACCTCAAACATTTTACAATAAAATTTATGTAATCATAGGTAGGAATACGCCTTTAATTAAAAATATGTCCAACAAATGAGGGGTATAGATTCAAAAGCGCCTCTATCCTATTTTTACTCAGTATTGCTTTTTGAAAGCAAGCCACACTTTGTTCAATTTACAACCATCCCATTTAATCGAATAATAGCAAAATGTGTTCTATCCATTAGAAAACGTGACCCGAAAAACAACTTCAAATTCAAAGTGTTCTCTATTCGTAAGTTCCAAGACAAAACCGCCTCTATGAAGAGTTGACCAATCACAGCGTAGATTGATGTATGAAATTAATATGGCGTCTGCTAGTGTTTTGTTAACAGCCGGCTTCTGCTTTAATTAGTTTTTATCGAGAAAAACATTGTAAAATGGAAGTTAATATTACGCCCGCGCAAGGTAATAATGCTAGAAAAAGGGTACGCAATGAATATAACTGGAAACGCAATGTACAAAAGCGCAACAGGTATGTATAAATTCCCTTAGAGTGAGGATGGTATCATGCAACATAGTTTGATGAACATTGAAACCCTTTTCACCTGTTCTTGTTTATTGAAATCACTAAATTTATTTACACACACTATTATTTTATTTATTACACATTTATTTTGATTTAATTTAAATGTATTTTTTTAAAGAAATTTGCTGCTTTTCTCAGTATATTTTTTTATCTTAAATATTATACAAATGTGAACTTTGTATCGAATACTTTTATATAAACTGAGATTATTTTAATTTCTCAGTGTCAATATGCGATTTTTACCTGAGAAAGTCTCAAAGAGCTACAATCGTTTGTCTTTTGCAGATATTCTGCAAAAAAGCTACCAGATTTGAATAATCTAGGAAAATGTCGACATAAAACTAAAGATTACAAATGCAACGACATAAATCACCAAGATGTACGAAAATTCCATCAGTCGTTTTATTCAAAACCTGAGAAAATTTATCAAGACAATTTTATTCTCAAGTTTATTCGAATACATTACCCTTTAGAACGAAAACGTAAAAAAGGAACCAGAGCGCCTTCTGAAACATATACGAATTTTTATATCAGAACTTATGTGAAACCTTATCGAATGAAAAAAATTTGCCAAAGAGTATTCTTGCAAATACTTGGAATCGGAATTCATCGGGTCCGCAACATTGCAAAAAAATTTTTAACTGCAGGACAATTACCTATAGAGAGTAGAGGCGGTGACAGAATTTCGCATAAAAATACGCACAAAGCACAGGCTGTCATGCAGTTCATAGAATCGTTTAAATGTGTTGAATCACATTATTGTAGATCATCTACATCGACCAGAAAATATGTTTTGTCTGAATTAAACATAAAAAAAATGTGGAAAATGTACCAAGTAAAACATTCAGATGAATTTAAGGTTCGGCAATGCTTCTTTAGAAATATTTTCGTAAAAAAATATAATATTGGATTCAAAACTCCACGTGTAGACGTCTGTTCTAAATGTTTAGAATTTAGTGTAAAGATAAAATCACAACAAAATCCTGCTTTGAAGCAAATGCTAATAACTGAACAGCGTATACACAAATTGAAAGCCAATAGTTTTTATTACTATTTGAAACAAAAGGAAGATAAAACATTAACGATGTCTTTTGACTGTCAAAAAAACCAAGTCCTCCCTAAAATTCCCGACCAATCGGCGTATTACAGTCGGCAGTTGTATAATTACAATTTTACGATAGTTGTCGGCACCTCAACTCAGAACTTTCTAAAAGAAAACGTACACATTTATACATGGACAGAAAACACTCATTGTAAATCATCGAATGAAATCGCGTCCGCTGTTTTTGATTTACTGAAGAAAATCGACCTTGCAGGTAAGAAAAAAGTAAGAATGTTAGCAGATGGCTGTACTTCCCAAAATAAAAACAGTATTTTACTTGCTATGATTGCTTTCTGGCTGACTAATCATGCTCCACGGCATATAAAGACAGTTGAGCTTATTTTTCCAGTACCCGGTCATTCCTTTATGCCGGCGGATAGAATATTCGGTCTTATAGAAAAGGAAATAAAAAGCAAAGAACAAGTAATTCTACCTCGCGAATACATCTCAATATATGAAAATTATGGTCAGATAACAAAACTTGGTGTGGAATGCGAAGTGAAAAACTGGAAGGAATATTGCAGTAATATAATGAAACCTACAAATCAATATCATTTTAAGTTTGCCGAATGTAAAAGATTTTATATAACCAGGGTAAAGAATAGGGAAGGTCGCTTTTTACTGCGAGGAGAAGTGAATTACAAGACAGATTTAGGAGTAGCAAAAAGTGTGATGAAGAGGAATACTACGACGTCTTCGGTTGGTGTCAGAGTAGTAGAGCCGTTCAATGTTTCAGTGAGTAAATTAAAACTGGATGATGTTGATTCTCTTTTAGTCAAGCATTACGGTTGCCACTGGAAAACTGAATTCGCTAGTGAGTTATCATTTTATAAAAATGCCATTGAAAACGTCCCTACATTTGACGGAGAATTAACTAATGACGAACCCTGTGAATTCTTACCGGAACAAGGAGTATCTATATAATCTGCCTGTCAAAAATCTGTTTTGTTTTTCAAACATTATTAAATTACTTTTGCCTAAATGCCTGTGCCTTATTGCATAACACTTTACCTATGAAGAAGTTTATGTCAAAACCTACTCTATCGAAAAGTTGTAGAACAAAAGCGCCTCTATTCGCCACTTAGATTCAAAATCTCCACTATTGAAACTTTAACAATAATTATCTCAAGTTATGTTCATTTCTTATCACTTTTTCTTTAACTATTTGAATTATTGTATATTTTTGAAGCTATTATGATAATAAACGCTGCTCAATCATGTACAAATTTATTTTTTCAAGTTTTCGACCAGTAAATTCAAATTGATATAAATGGATAGAGGCGCGTTTGATTCTATACGCCTCAAATATCCGCTTTGGTACAGTCATGGTTTAAAACGCTGCATTAGGGAGAAGGCTAAATGCCACAAACGCTACGAAAAGTATGGTAATCCTAGGGATTACGACACATTTGCGTTATTTCGGACTCGATGTAAATCCCTTATCGAAAATTGTCATAAAATGTACTTATCTACGGTGGAGGACTCACTTGGTGACAACACGAGACTGTTTTGGCGATATGTTAAGGGAAGAAAAGGCAAAGATACGATACCTGAGACCATGACTTTTGATAGCAAAGTTTCTTCAGATGGTCAGGGTATATGTGAGCTTTTTTCGGAGTACTTGGTTCGGTGCTTGAAGCACCTCCACACTCAGAGCCAGAGTTTTGACAATGTTGCCTAATATTTGTAACTCTACGCTTAGTAACTTCACCATAGAGCGACAAGATGTTCTTCGCAAGATTAAGCATTTGGATGAAAGAAAAGGGGCTGGTCCTGATGGGATTCCTCCATTATTTTTTAAACGCTGTGCAGACGAGCTTTCTATTCCTCTTTCATTGTTGTTTAACAAATCACAATTCTGGAGATTTTCCTGCACGATGGAAGATAGCACACATTATCCCTATCTATAAGACTGGAGATAGATCGTCATGTTCGAACTACCGTCCGATTAGTTTGCTCTCGTGTGTGGCTAAACTTTTTGAATCCTCTGTATATGATGGTCTGTACAGTCACTTTGGTTGCTTTCTTTCTAATAGACAGCATGGCTTCGTTAAGAAAAGGTCAACGTTCACAAACCTCATGGAATATAAGAACTATATCTGCCGAGCTTTTGCTACTGGTAGTCAAGTTGATTCTATTTACTTAGATTTTAGTAAGGCCTTTGATAGAGTCGATCACCGCCTACTGTGCCTAAATCTTTCACGCTATGGTATTCATGGCTGTTTATTGAGGTGGATTGATTCGTATTTAAATAACAGGTCCCAACTTGTCACTCTTAAGGGTTACTCATCTGGTCCTGTAGCCATTACATCGGGCCCGCTCTTATTCAATATCTTTGTGAATGATCTGGTTGATTTATTGACGTGCCCTGCCCTTCTTTATGCAGATGACCTAAAGATTTTTACTAACATTGGTGACGGTGAGGAATGTGAGGCTCTTCAAAACACCCTCGATGTTATTGAAAACTGGTGTGAATCGAATAAAATGAACCTAAACGTTAATAAATGTTGTGTTGTGTCCTTTACAAGACGAAAGCGAAGAAGGGTGGTTCATACCTATTTTATACAAAATAACATTTTAAGCAGAAAAACGCTAATAAAAGATTTAGGTGTGTTTTTGATGATGAGTTAAGCTTCCGTCCTCACTACGATCATATTATAAAGAAAAGTAACAGTATGCTGGGATTTATCATTAGATCTACTAAGCAATTTAAAAAGCCACAAAGCATTATCTGTCTTTTTTTCAGTCTGGCGAGAAGTATCCTTGAATACTGTTGCCCTGCATGGTCGCCCTATTATGATGTACGTGTTACTAGAATTGAACGTGTTCAGGGGAAACTCCTGAGAATCCTTTCTCGTAAATTTAAATATGGTCGTTCCCTTAATAATTATAAAGACCGATTGTCAAAATTTCGTGTTGTCTCCCTTCAAGCCAGGCGTAAAAGATACGATTTAATTTGCCTTCATAAGATTCTGCACTCATACATCGATGCGCCAGCTTTGCTCTCGTCACTCTCTATTAAAACGCTGTATAGATCCCGCCTTCCAAACACATTCGCAATTCAAGTTTTTAAAAATAACACCTCTTATTATAATCCTATAGTCAGAATGTGTAGAACTTATAACGAATTTTCAAGGAACAACAAAGGTATTGATGTGTTCAAATCCCGTTTCTCAGTGTTCAAAAGAAGCATCTCTAGTTTGTTCGGCCCTGGTACTCAAGATCCTTAATTTCCATTTCTTATGTTATTTTATTTTTATTATCTCGTTTTATTAACTGTGTTAAACAATTTAGCCTAGTTTTAAAGTTTTGTTTTTATTTTGCCATGATTTTATTTATGCTGTGTACACTGTTTTGGATGGCAGTTTAGATTTTTACCAAATTTATGTTTTTTAACCATGTGAACTGCACTCTGTTTGTGTACCTATTAAATAAATAAAAAATAAATAAATAAATTTGATAAGGATAGAGTAATTAGGCATTTGTTCCATTTGCTATTTTCTCGCTCAAGAAACGTACAATAGATATAAATTTCGTATTAACAAAACAAATGCATATTTTAATAGTACATCGTTGACTGTTCACACTGTCAGCGAGAAGTCGCTCCACTAGTTTGACGTTGAGCGACAAGAGCTATCAAAGATAGTACATATTATGCACTTGCCCGGCCATGTTCGCTTGGCCATCACATCGCGTTCATTTTTGCTCAGGACAGTCACCGCGAGCCAGTGCGCGAGTAATCGCCTGTTGTACTCGCACACTAGCTTATAGCCGTGCGATAAAACTACCGGAACTACACTCTCGCTGCTTGTCAACTCGTTTCTGGTTTAGCTTCTCTTTAATCGTTGACGGTGGGACAATAACCTAAAGCTGGATGAGCTGTGATTTCAGAATGTGGCCCTTATTCTTCAACTTATTATTATGTCTAGCATGAAATAACATAAATAACCTTAATTTTATATTGAATAAATAGTACAATAGGATCCTCCAAGACACACCAAAAAATAAGATTATCTTAACGGTAGTAGGTTTCCATAATGGTTCGGCATTACAGTATTCACAACCCTTATGCCGATTGAACTGTTAAAAATCAACATGTTTGTATCAAACATAAATCCTCAAAGCACATTTTCGAAAGTAATGAAAAATGTACCCAACATTTTTCATTACTTTCGAAAATGTGATGCGTGATGTAGGCAAATGTAGACTAATCAAAAATTAATATTTATAAGATTGGGTCTCAATTAGTCATTTCCTTACAAAGTTACGTTAAATACGTTCCTTCATCTTGACATTTTGTTTATATAAATCATTAGTGTATGCCGTAACAATACATACCTTCAAATTATTGACAGCCAAATATAGGGCAAACTCATTGCATTTTTTTATACATTATTACTAAGTCTTTGGGATCAGAAATGCTTACTTACTTAACTTTTTTATATTATAAAACTTTGTTATATATGGTTGAATGCGCTAATCTCAGGAGTTACTGGTTTGAATCGAAAAAATATTTTAATGTTGGATAGTCAATTTATCGAGAGAGCCTATAGGCTTTATAACACAACGCTACGACCTACGACTAATACGGGAGGAGCATCAATGGAAAATGTTGCGAAAACCGGAAGAAAATATTAGTTTTGAGAGCTTTCTATAAAGTTACGGAAAAATCAAGTAAAAGTCCATCCTTTATAGTCGACTTATTTACTTTACTTACTTTTAAACTTTGTCCTTAAATTATCACGGATGAAACTGCGGGGTACCTACAGCTAGTTTTAAAAGAAGTAGGGCATAGCAGATTTGCCGCTGGAATTGGAGCGCCCGTCTGGGGCAGTAACCTCCACCTTACAGAACACCACAGTATAATAACATTACCTTTTGGTAGTGTTGTGTATCTGTCGGTGAGCAAGGTTCCAGGGCTCCACGCGGTAGGGGATGGAGTCAGGGTAGACAATGGCGCGATTTATAGTTTTTGTATAACAAGCGTCTATTGGCTATGGTGGCCGCTTACCATATGATTGTTTGCTACTCTTTTCACATAAAAAAAGTTTTAAACAAACGTATCTAAAGTTAGAATAAATGTAGGAACAATTACGCAATTAAACTAACGAATTATTCTTAAAAGGCTTCGTGCGGGAAACAGGCAGCCCTAAAAGTTTAAGTGCTCATGACAGCCAGCCTGGCATGCCGGAATTAGGTCGACCGCGATATTTTGTAAGAGAATATACGCTCATTCGAGATGCAGAGCGTTGTATTGTTTGAACGTTTAAGCTACGGACTTATAAATAAATTATTGCGAATAACGGCACGAATAGGGTAGCACACAAAGGGATTAATGGCAGTTGTGAACAGATACCTCGACTGTGGAAAGTTAAATATACATTGTATATTTTGTAACGTGATAAGTAAAAATAGCAACAACTTTTACAATTCTCTTAATGTGATCGGAGGTACGAGAAAATCTTGTACTTACAAATGAATATTGCTTTTTTGTTTGATTCGAGGTCTTCAAGAAATACGAAGCTCACCGAAAACATGTTTATGTAAAGTGTTACCAAGACAATTCCATACGACTCGCAGTGTCTCACGTCACAGCCAAGCTTTTAACTCTACACGCCCTAACTCTGCATGGCCTAACATCACATACTTTACAACTTAGTCAAACTATATGGTTTGACCAATTCGCCCCATTCACATGGGTGAAATGTGAAAAGAAATTTACTGTTCAATAATTTTCTGTTTTTTATTTATTGTAGTTTTTGTTAGGGTAGCAAACAAACGTATGGCCCGTCTGCTGGTAGGCGTCCACCATAGCTCTTAGACGTTTGCGATACCTAAAAGATCACGCATACCGATGCCTACCATGACCCAATCCCGTACAGCCCTGAAACATTTCTCTCCGACGGAAACACAACACTGCCTATTGTGTATTTGATTGTTAATATTGACAAGTAAATGTCTTAGTATATGTGGGTACTCATATAATAAATCAGTTATGCTTTGATCTCGACTGGTGTTGTTTCTTTTAGTGGCGACTTTGGAAAATTTGTCTTTTATAACGGATAATGGCGTGAAATATAGCAAATATAGTGTTTCCCGGACAGTTTAATCCGAAAACCGATAAGTGGAGTGAATATCAGGAGAGACTGCTTCGTGCATTGGATGCTGCGGAAGTGACCGATGTGAACCGAAACAAAGCGCGTTCGTTATTAATTTCTCAGTGCGGCAAAGAGACTTATTCACTTATTGTGTCATATATGGATGTGCCTTTTCAGGACATTTTA